AATCAGTTCACAGACTCAAACCTGACCCTTCAGCAACTGGAACAGCTTTAATATCCAAGTACTTGAGCACATGAAATGCAATAACATATGTAAAATTGTAACACATGAACTGTGATAGAGATTACATATGTCATTATTTTCCATTTATCGTTCATTGGAAATTAAATTTAAGCCTTTGAACGTATAAATGGACAGCAATAATGAAAGCGCCCGAATTAAAACTGCACAGACTAAAGCGAATAATACCGAAAAAATGCTCGCGGCTTCAGAATCATACGGAAGCAATCAAAGAATCAGTTATCATGTCAGTTCTTATCATGTTGATAATTGTGCTTAAACGCTAACTGATCTGCTTCAGACCTTTTCCACAGTCTGACAGCATGTTCTGAATTTGCAAAGAATCTGCCTCACAGCAAATACTTCCCACCCAAAGGCCTACGTATCAATTCTTCTCAGTTATCCAAACTTTTCACGCACAAATTATGACACACAAACACTTAAATGCAACTCGTCGATTTCTGAAATAGCATAGAAAACTTCTGAAGCAGTAATGGCTGATGTTAAAAAGTAAAATAAATTACGAATGTTTGTCGGAAAGTGAATACATCGCACATCGCTGCGTTGTTGGATAAAGTCCTTCACTGCCAGCTTGATTGTCAGCAGTCCCAATTTGATGAAAATGAGCTCAAATATTTGAACTGCTGAAGTCGCCAGTACCAAAACTTTGACCTCTCCATACAAATTTGCCCAACTCAAAGCAACGTTCTATCATACAGTCCCATTCACAGCAGCTTAGATTAGATTTTACTTTGCGTCATCGCAATTCGCTATAGAAATTCGAAATTCAAGCAAAGATAAATTCTGTGATATGGTGCGCTTCATAAGTGAAGTGAAAAGAGGAGGCAGCGGAAAGATGGCGAGAATCGTACAAGCATATAATTTTGTGCTGTGAATACAGTGCTGTTTTAAGAGAGAGTGTGAGAGTGCTTAGTGAGTTAGTGGGTGAGTGTTAGCTGTAATCGAGCAGAGGTGTTCTGAAACGATTGCCTGATTGTATACACAGAGTGAGGCTTACAAAAGTGCGAAAATCCAACCAGTCCTTTGGCGAGCTTGATTATTGCTTCGTTTCATTTTCTTCTTGTTGGGTAATGCTCGGGTTAGTAGCATGCGAACTTGCGGTGCTTCTCAGTATGTTTGTTGTTCGCTGATTGTTTATAAAGTAATATTAATAGGCTAAATACATTTCAGGCTACCAAGCCGAACCTGAAGTAAAAAACGCTTCATCCTCTTCATGAAACTGTAATTGGAGAGAGGAAGGATTTCGTCTTGAGCCTAAATTTTGGTGGTATCACTATGTACCGCCAATTAAGTGGAAGTGCTCCCTACAAAGATGGGAGCATTATTTTTAAAGAAAACCAACTTCTTAGTGAGTTCTGTTCACACATATATTTGCAATATATATCAACCAAATATTTATTTGTTATTTTAAAAGTGTTTTATCACTTCTTCTGTTGTCATAAATATCGTTTTAGGTAAAAAAAGATTAGGCAACAGAGCATCCAATTGACGAAGATGGCTCAATCATCATTAATTGCATTCTTCGGATTGAAGAATGCTTCATTATGGATGGACAAGATGAAAAATTTAACAATGCGAGTTATTTTGGGAGTTTGGGTCCTTCCTTACTTGTGGTATGTGCTATACATTAATTATGTTTGAGCGAACTTTTATTTCAAGTAAACATAATTTGGATAGGAATAGGTGACCATTACAATGTAGTGAAAGTTATCTCAAGAGTTCACTTTCAGGATGACAAAAATGGAAGGACGAAAATGTGACGTTTCAACAATTCTCAGTGGATTTTGAGAGAGGCTTTGGCCGTCCAGCATTTGAAGCAGAAATGGAGTGGGTTCTTAACACAGTAGCAAACGAAGACTGGATCGAACAAAGCAAAAACTTGTAAAAATTGAAGTGATTTTTATTTTTTGCAGTTTTTTTGTATTTTATGAATTATATTTTCAACAGATTAGTATTTGTATTACCTTAGGTTTGCATTATTCTTGTATATTAGTAGTTTGTA